AGCATCCAACACTCGACTTCGCATCGCGTCGACCACTTGGCCAGCAATAAGAATCATAGTTATCCAGGTCCCCAAGCTCTCGAGGCTCAATTAAGCAATCCAATGGCCACTAACAGCTGACCCCCACGAAAGCCGCTAGGGGAAAAGGTCACCCGGGACAAGTCTCCTGACCGCGCAACATGGGAAATTTCACCGCCGCACTTGCTGGGGGAAACGCCTCTATCCGCAGAGCCTGGACTTGAACAACCAGGGGCTACTTGCTACCTCTCCGAACCAGCAGGTCCAGCCGGCCGGGACTCGGATCCAACAAATCGGCACGATTGCCAGATCGTATCAATTGTCCAGAAGGAAAAGCGAGGGGGAGGGGTCCCCATCGCTGACCAACACCCCTGCGTGATTATTCACACCGCCATGAGGCCATCGACTGGGCAAAGGGGGAAAAAGTCACTTGACAATGCCCATGGGAAAGCTGGTGCAAGGCAAGGCATTGCGCTGCAAACAAGATGACTGGAATCCGCACAAACGAAACGAAGAAGGGTCGATAATAAACGGCAAGGCTTCTGAACATCAGAAGAAAAGAGAACTAGGAAATTCGATAATATCGTACCTTGCTAAAGCTCCAGGTATGCTGTCGTCGAGACGTCTTCTTGCTTTCGTCGGCACTATTTGCCGGGATCACTCCGATACCCATGATGGATGGTTGGGCTGCTTGGAAACGTCGCTTTAAAACTGGACTTTGGTGGTTCGCTGGAAATCCGGGAATGCCTTCGTCCAGATTGCTTTCCAGGTCAAGTCGGAAGAACACTATTCCAGTCTTTTCCCCAGGCACGTTGCCGACCACGGGGGATGTCGGAGGGGTTCAAAAGATCGGTACAGCGACTGCCGAGTAACCGCCGCACACCGCAAACGAGTTGAGACGATACGATCGTGACGGGAAAAGAGGTGGTGCAAGAGAGCGTGAGAGGGTCGTGAAGAATCTGCAGAGGAGAAGAGAATGAGAGGACTGGCCTCTAACGCAGCAAGGTCGGTATCGCTTGGAAGGAAGTCGGTGAAGTGTGAGTAAGTGTTGCCGAAGGGCCTGGATCGTGAAGTGTTGAATCAAGTGGCAGAAATCAGAGCGCCGTCGCGGTGACCTCACTGTCTTATCGATAAGGACTACAGGCCTTGATAAGCCCTCGTCGCCACTCCGATAAGTCCCGACCCGAGTACCGGTTTCAGTCTCGTCCACTGTGGAAACACAACCTGCGCTGGAACTGCCGCTGTCTCTAACCTGGAATTGCACTTCACCGGGCTGCCCTGGGCGTCACAAGGTGGAGCGAGCGAGAATGCTCAAACAGAACGATTGCAAGCATTCAAAGAAAGCATGAGGCAAGTGGCATTCATTAGACTGAACCCTATCTCACCAGTACAATTACATCTCTGTGTAAGCAACTATGTCTTTGGCCAATATGACCCCAAAACAGCCTTAACAAATTCATCGCCAATCTTGTCAAACTGCCACCTCACATGAAATTGGACGGCCTCCATTTGAACCTCTCTTAAGCTGGTGCAAAATCCCCGGCTCAAGGAATCTGTTTGCCATTCTACTTCTCAGGAAGCTGAGGAGTGACACCATAGAATTCACGGCCGTAGAAGCGGACCTGGCCAGCGCCAACATCGAAGTAGGCCTCGACATTGTGAAGGAAGACGGAGCCCAGGATGTACGGACCCGTGCCTCCAGTGGTGATTCCGACCTGGCAGTAACCCGTGAGAGGGTCCACAAGCCCGCGGTAGATGAGGTCCACTGGGTTGATGAAGAAGCTCGCGCCTTCGATGACGACGGCCACCTTGGGAGCAATGGCATCACAAGGGGCAAAGTATCCGCCATACTGGAATAAGTAGATGGCGCTGGGGGAGAAAGATCTGGCGATTGCCTCAGCCGTGGGTGGAGGCACGTACATGAGCGTCGTGCCGGTGTCGACAATGTACGGGTACTTCTTGGTGTCGCTCGTGGATCCCCAACGCAAGCCATCGACGAGGATGGTGTAGTAGGAGTATTGCCAACTCCCGTCGGGACGCTGCGAGTTGATGCTAGTCTTAAAGATTGTAAGTCAACTGAGATGCAGTTTTGTTTTAGCCGAAACTCACAATGATGAGATCGGTGTAGGCCGTAGGACCAGTAATTGGTAGACCAGTTCGGCCACCCCATCCAATTACGCCAGACGAATTGCGAACAAGAGAAACGCTGAAGGCGTCTGAGGAGAGTCCTTGCTGAACCATGCTGGTGAAGAAGGGCGAGTATGGAACCTGGAAGGCAGGGCGATCCTCATTCATGTCGCCAGTGAAAGCACTAGTGATGGAGGGATAGGCAAGACCGAGAACACCGTTGGTGTAGTTGTTGCCCATCCAGTATGTCTTGTTGGCCAGGCCGACCTGCTGCTGTTTGACGATGATGCCGGCAACCTCGATGTCACTGTAACCCATGGGGCCAGACACTCGCTCGCCAGAGCCGTAGCTCAAGGCGAAGTGGACATCCTCGACGGGGCCATATTTGAACTCGTCAATCTTGTCCGGTCCGAAGCCGCAAGATTCAGGGGAATAGACAGCAGTGCCTGATAGGTTGGTACAGGTCAGATTGGAACTGGTGGCCCAAGTGTCGCTGCTGCCGGTGTCGAAGATCATGTTGATGAGCTTGCCATCCCAGGTGACCTCGACGGCATACTGAGTACCCCAGGGAGACAAGGCTGTGATGTTCTGGTAGCTGGATGAGAGATCTTGAGGCTGGGCCGCGCCCAAGGCAGTGGCGGCGTTGTGGCCGGTGATTCTACCATGGAACGGCTTCAGTTTCTGGACGCGGCCAGAAACTTCATCAGGGGCAGCCTCGCGAAAGGCCTTGATGCGCTGGAAGTTGACGCCCTTGAGAGGGCTCTTGATCTCGACACCAACACGGCGTCTATCCTTGGCCAAGACAACGTCGGCGGAAAGAAGACCGACTCCCAACAGGGAGGAGATGACGTTGGTGACCTTCATAACGTCTTTGGATCACGGAGAGAGTGAGAAAAGGAGGGTGGTTGAAACGAATGATGGATGGGACAAGAGAAGGGACGAGACAGTCAAGCTACAACTTGTGTCTCTTTTTGAAAGATTGACGAGGACGGTGGTGAGATGTTGGGGAACAAAGATTGAGGGAGGTTGGCCAAGGTGAGGAAGATGAAGGGTCAGGAAAAGGGGGACAATCCTCGGATGTGTGTTTGGGATAGGCGGTGACGACAGGAAGGCGCAGCAGATGCGAAGTTGCCTTCCTTCTTGGCTGGTACCGGTTGCGTTACTTCCTTTCGGAGGAATTGTAACATCAGGAAGGCGTGTGTATGGTGGTGACTGCCAGGAGGTGGAAGGAGATACCGAAGGTGGTTGCCATCGTGGATGACGGGAGGGGCAAGTACCGCTTGCCTTGAGTCGTTTGCTCGGGATGCCACTTCCATCTCGGAAGGACCAGATCCACACGGAAACAGCGTACCTGCCTTTGATGTCCTGGCCTCCCGTTGAGGAAGTTACAGTTTGCCACCAGTTCGGAAGGCACTTACGAAGTTATCACCGATGGCTGACTCTGAAATCTCACAAACAACGACGATACTAAGAAGCTCATGGCTCTTGGCTGTGACCCGCAACGAGTCCGCAGTCTCATCCGGTCTTGCTTTGCTTCGGAAAGCTACTCGGTCCTTTGACGTAAATCTCTTCTGCGGCTCACTCTCCCTTGCATGTCGAAACAAACGGCCTCAACCTCGTACCAGAGCTGCTGTTTACGGATGTCACATTACTTCGAACAAGTATTGGGCAAATTTGCAGTGATCTTCTGCAATTACTTGAGCCTTCTTCATTAAGTCAAGCATCACGATAATGACCACCGAGTTCTCGAAAGACATCGGGTCTTCGTCTTTCAAGGACCCGAAGCTCTGTCTTACTTAAATTGCTTCAGTCACACACAACGGATACCTGCAGCACTTTTCCATTATGCCATCTCATGTTCTGGTAAGACCAGGCACATGTGATCGGAAGTCGGCTCGCTCATGAAGCAAACGCAAATGATCTACTGTACATCAGTTACCCCCGGCTAGAGAGGTTCTTGGGGCTTGAAAAGTCTGTCTCGCTACTGTTGGATCAAGCTCAGTAACACGTGATACTTCCATGTTTGTTCGAGCTTGTCAGTCGCGTCCACGCCATGTACTCTCAACGTGTTGTCAACGTGTCGTGGAAGATGATCAAAAAGCATATTCCTGGCTGTTCGCGTTCGACGCTCTTGACCCCTGGCTAGCGAATCTGTTTGTTCCCTCATGTCAAATGCGAGATGGCGCACCATCCGCATGTGTTGTGCATGGTATGACACAATTGTCGCTTTCCGACATACCCGACCTAATTACGTCGCTGCCAATTGGACCTGACCTCAACCGAGTAGACTGACACGACGAGTGACGGTCATTCCTGAACCCCTGAAATTTGGGTATTGCCGATTACTACGGTTGACAAACACGGTCTGACGTTCAGATCGTGTTGAGCAACGTCTGACGAGAAGCCGCAGTAAGCTCATGGCATGATCAACAACGACGTGTCCCATCCAACAATATATGCTGCGAGGATAAGATGCTGACAGCTCCGGTCTCAGCTCCGGACCTTGGGACCGATCAGCTCCCAAGATTCGGAGTCCATGTCCCGCCGGCGGGCCGTTGGCCTAATCTCACCGTGCCGCTCCGGTCTGACCAGAATCTCTGAAGTCCCCATCAACATTTTGACATTGATGCAGAATTGTAGCCAAGATCTCAACGTGAATCCCTCAGGATTTGGTTGAGACAACCTGAGCACCGTGCGGCAGGGATGGAAAGCCGAGGCACTTACCGGAAAGGGAAATTTAGCCAACCTTAACATGATGACGACAAGACCCGAGATAGGGCTGATGAATGCACTGCCTAACGTTCCTTAGGTGACCCGTCCATCCCATTGGAGGTCCGACTACCTTATATCTTAACCTCACCTCTTCTTCCTCCCTTGTCTTTATCTTGTACGTTGACCGTAACCCTCTCCCAGGATTCTTCATCGCATAGTTCGTCGCCAAAAGCAACGGTCGCTGTCGAAAGTTTCTCTTACACACCCTTATTCCCACCTCTCAAGATGGCGTCAAACCAGCCCGCCCGCGCTGCCGGACCCCTGCCAGCCATGCAAGAGCTCTCACCAACGACGTTCCTCTACGATCCGCCCTCATCCGTTCTGGACCCAAACTCACCCAAGCTCGTCGCCATCTTCAGCTGGATGTCAGCTCAAGATGTCCACATTGCAAAGTACACCTCGCGGTACATGGCAATGCACCCCTCCGCCAGCATCCTCCTCGTAAAATGCCCCTTCATCCACACCCTCTCCACCCGCATCTCCAAGCGGCAAATCAAGCCAGCGGTCCCCGTGATCCGCTCCCTAGCCGACTCCACCCCGCCGCCGGCCTCCTCCGGGACGGGAACGGGGCAGCGGGCCCCGCAGCTCCTCTTCCACGTCTTCTCCAACGGCGGCGCCACCAACCTTGCCAAGTTCCTCGAGCTCTACGCCGACGCGGACCGCGCGGGCCGTTTGGAACTCCCGCCGCACGTGACGCTCTACGATTCCTGCCCGGGTGGGTTCCACTGGATGCGCAGCTATCGCGCCCTCTCGGCCTCGATGCCGCGGATCCTGGCGCCGCTGGCCCACGTCTTCATCGGCTGGTTCTGGCTCTTCCACGTCCCGCTCGGGCGGGTCGGGTTCTTTGGCAAGATGTGGGCAGCGCTAAGGCAGAAGGCGCTGTTGGGTAGTGAGAGGCGGCGGGCGTATTTGTACAGCAAGGAGGATGAGATGATTTACTGGGGCGATGTGGAGAGGCATGCGGAGGAGTCTGCTGAGGCTGGGTTCAAGGTCCGCAAGGAAATGTTTGACGGGAGTCAGCATGTTGCGCATGCGAAGCTGGATTCGTCGAGGTATTGGGGGCTTGTGAGGGATGTGTGGGATGAGGACTTGGTGAAGAAGAAGGTTGAGCCGCCGACGCCGACGACGAAGTCTGCTGATGCCCCGTCAGAACCAACGCCCGAGAACGGATCAGAGACTGCCGACAAGACTCCAGAATCTGTGAAGACGGCACTGGAATCACCGCAAGCTGCGCCGGAGCCCCAAAAAGCCAAGTCAGAATCGCCAAAGGCTTCTCCGGCACCAGAGCCAACCAAAGTGAGCCCTGAGCCACCCAAGCCCGCACTGCCGCCACCAGAGATTGTGCCTGCGAGGCCGAAGCGGCAACCAACGCCGCCTCCAACCATTCAGTAAGCCGTTGATGTGCGCACTTCTGTCAGTTGAGAGCTGGTTACTTTCGTAGATGATACCTTTTCTTTGTCTCTGCATGTATAGATTGAGATATGCGTGGGCTTACTGTAGACTTTTCTGGAAAATCGAATCATGTTAAAATTAAGTAGGGAAGCCTGTCTTTTGGGGGGTCTATTGACATGATGTGAGATGTGCGTGCTATCGTAAGGCTAGAAACAGAGTGTTCCTCTGAGAATCAAATCGGCGCCGAGTAAGTCCTGTATATCAAAATCTGACATGTAACTACTGATCTTTTCGTAGCATCACCGGCTGTTATCTTGCGAGGAGAGGTCGCTCGGTGCACGGTTGTAGACCAGGGGACGCAAGCCAACGCGATTCCATAAATAAGCAGCCCTTTCCCACCTCGCTTTCATTCTCATTGGCAAGCGCTCTCGTTCGTCTGACACTTTGCGTGACGTGTAGTTGACTCGCAATTGGTTGTTTCCCATGCGGCACCCATAGCCTGCAGGAAAGCCTGACGGTTGGGAGGCACTGCTGGGGCTTATCTGCCACGCAGCCTGCTTGATTCGGGCGTTGAAAAGCGTATCGAGCCCCCTCTGGTCTGCCCATCCTCTTGTGTCTGTATTCTTCCGACCGCACCTGGCGCCTGGCTTCTTGGTTTTCTGACCATCCGTAGTAGAACACTCCTCGACGACCATCTACCGTTCGACTTCATCCTGTAACTTTGAGACCAAACGAGACCACGAGGATACCAGAAGAAGAGAAGTAGCTACAATGGCAGAAGTCTTCGGCGTCGTAGTCAGCGCCTTCAGGTCGTCGAGATCGCGGGAAAACTGGGCTCCAGCACGATTAAGCTCAAGAAGCTTTGGGATGAAGTCCAGGAAGTACCTAGCGAGATGAATCAGCTCGTTGGAATGGTTGACATCCTCAACGCGACGCTGACTGAGCTGGATAGAGCATTCGACAAGGCTGGTGACCCGAATTTTGGCACACTTGATGTCAGTCTAAAGTTGTGCCAACAAGCCGCGAACGATTTGGACACTCTGGCGACAGACTTGCAGCAACAGATTGCCACGGCCAAAAAGTTTAGAAGGAGGATTACAAAGCTGAAAGTAACTTTTAAGAAGGACCTGATTCGGAGTTGCGAGCAAAAGGTACAGACCGCTTTGCAGATACTGAGCCTATCACTGAGTACAAGAATCTAGTAAGTGCAACAGTGTGTTCTGCAATTTGAAGTCGCTAAGAGAAATCTACAGTATCGATATAAATGCCAAGCCTCAGCCATACTCAGTCCAAGCTGATACATCCGGATCGAACCCTCCGCTGATCGAGACTTCCCCCGGCCAACACGTTCGATTGGCAGAGGGGCCAATTATTGGAAGCAAGGCTGCTATCAATGTTGCGAGAAAGTCTAGGACAAAGCCAGTCTTGAAAACACAGGCTTCATTTTTTGGTAGTTTTGCCAGCCAGAGCGTCCCACACTCTGCGTTTCCTGAAGTTCAGAGTGGGTACAACAATAAGTTGGTGAAGTCCAAGAATGCTACTAACACTTCCCAGTATATCAGGCACAGTTGCAGCTGCCATGGTGGATATCATCAAGAGTTTGGAACATACAAGTTTACAATGCGTATGCTGGGTGGAAGCACTCTCTGCAAACTTGGACAGTTCGACCTGATAATACTCCCATCTTTGAATATATTGAAGACGGTGATTGGGAACACGCTTTCTGTGACATCAAGGTCGGGCGTCTTTATTTGACCGTGATGAGGATGGACAAACATTGCTACACGTACGGACTTCGTCCACGCTCTTAATGAGATTGAAGCTGACGCTTGACCTAGATAGCAGTTAGCTGGGAAAGATTGAACATCGTTAACCATCTACTCAGCATGGGCCTAAACCTCAGCGATCTAAGTGATCAACACAATGAGCTTCTTCACTTTGCAGGCTTCGTCGATGGCCCGGATGACGTTTTGGAACTTTTCAAGATGTGGATCTACGTCGCCCTCGATGACAGCCTGGAGGATTATTGTGCCCCAGGAGAAACGACCGTGAACCTATGTGCCATCTCTAGATTTGTTTGGAACGCCCCTGAAGCTCTCCAATATATGAAGAGAAGCCTAGGGGCCACGGCGAATCAGCTCCCACCAGCGGCACGCTTGCTCATTTAAAGTGGTTCCAGATCAATCCACAGATTCTGCTAGAAGACATTCAACACGACAAAGACCTCCAGCCTGAAGACTTCTGTGCCACCATGGAAAAGTCTCAGGATGGCTCTCTACAGTTCTTCGCAGGTCGGTACAGAACTGGCATTGAGTACAATGGCGATTGCTGGAGGGGACTTGCGCGGTGGATCTTCAAGGGAGTGTCTTTGGAAAGGCTTAGCATGCAGCACTCTTTGTATGCGAGGGAGGGCGCATACACACCACTCTTTTCTGGAATTTTTGAAACCCAATGGAGCTATGTCAGCCTCGGCCGGTCTATCCACAGGTTTTTACGAATGTGGCTGGAGGATTTGCAGACCTCAGGCATAGACCTTGATGAATACGGGCGACGAGAAATAGAGATCTTCAAGCGCGATGCATTGCTGCAAGAGCAACGTTTAGAGATGGGGGTTATCAACAACAGTGGCCGTTATGGGATTTCTCTCGGAATGCGACTGATATCTTTTACGTATGGACCCGAGCCTGAAGACTGGAAGCTTGTCTGGAGTCCAGAGGCCGAGCAATACGCCGGGGAGTTCTGGGACCTGATCGAAAATCCGCCTTTACGTATTCCGGGAGGATGGGTAGACGATGATTTGTAATACCACGGATCGTTGTCAACTCTGGTACTTAGTCTTCTGGTTCCTTGAAGTCATTGTGTTTTGCAGAGATCAGTGTCTGTCAAGTTTGTTTCCCCGTGTGCCTCGAACGCTGTCTTCCTCACAATATCACGAGGCCTTGGAAGTTGGAAGACGAGTCGAGAGAAATGAGGAAATTTCAAGTAACGTAGGTCTTGCATGTACTCCTAACTGCTCATTTAGGATATCATGGTCTTCCTAGAAGCTGGCTGTATCGCCATTAGGTAGTTGAAGTAAGGCAATCGTACCAGCCGCGATCGTGCGCTGCTTCGGATTTATGTTTAAGTATCGGTCAGGAGCTGGTCATGTGTTTCCTGACTATATTATGTGAAGTGCGCACTTGTACACTCTAATTCTTCACAGCTCGCAAGAGACCTGAGAAGACCTTACCGTACCGGGGCCGAGTGGTTAGCCTGAAATCAAGCAGACAGCTGAGGATGCTTCACCAATCATGGCTTCGCCCTCTGCTGAATACCCCAACCAGGTGCTGGATATCTCACCTCAGTTTTAGCTCGCACGGCAGGCTGGCCAGGAACTTGACTGTTCCATAATCTGAGGAAAATGCCGTGAAGTTTGAGGACCTGAGCCCAAGGTAAGGTCATCTTCAAGAGTTTACCCAGCTTATCCCATTGACTGCGAGTGGGCGTCAGTACATCTCCAGTGCGGAGTACAGCCAATCAAAGCTCTGCCAAGCAAAATCTTAGCCAACCCAAAAAGCTCGTTCGGAGGTACTTCGATTCATTAGAGAGTTTGGTTATAGAAGTTGTACCAGTAAACATCTAAGTTACATAGAGACACATTGCATTCCTGGCATCCTGACCTCGAGTACTTCCTTCTACTACTATTCCTAGAGATCTCGCGCAGAGCCTACCTTACTCTAGGGCGACTACTACAAGCAGAGCACGGCGAGCAGCTTCCTTACTTCTTCCTGATATGCTACTGCTAGGGAATAATATTGTTCCGCTTGTCCGTTGCCCGTTGGGCCGGGTACGCTAGCGCGCCTTTACTAATGGCCCGAAGTGCTGAATAAGCTGGGTAGATAGTTCCCTTCGCCATTGATACTGACTCTTCAACTGCTGCCAGTCTGGCTCGCCCCATCGCTGTGGAAGTATGGGAATGAAAACGGCGGCCAAGTGACGTACTGCACATGTACCCCTTTTGTGAGGGGCAGAAGTGGAGCATAGAAATGGGGCAATTGTACTGACGCCCACTCGCAGTCGATGGGATAGATTGATGTAGTAGTTCTGCGTCAACTTGTGATGTTGTTCAGACTTGCTTTCGCCCAGGCGCTGGCTGTTGTCGCTCCTACAACATCGTGTAGCCTTGGAAGTTGGAAGACCGAAGACGGATGGGGTGAGACAAGGAAATCCATTGCAAAGAAGGAGGCGTGATGCATCATACTAGATCACACATTCTTCGGCTTGGTCTCTAGGTGGTCTGTTGGTTTCCAGGAAGCTGGCGAAGAAGCATCTGGAGTGATAGAAAGTAGTCAGGCCTAGCTATGGCTCTGATGTATAGCTCTAATCGTGTGCCTGACTCTTGAACTGCGACCCTCTGAAGTGGGCGACTACACAGTTCACCCCTTGAAAGCACACTTCTACTTTTACCACCTCTTCTGTGCCTATCTGTCATTGCTATCTTTTTCTTCACCTAGGATAGTTCACTCAATATATATTACCTGAAGAATATAAATCAAGAAACATGAAAAGGGCACAACATTAAAGATAGTGGTTATGAGAGAGGGGATCTTTATGCGTTGACCGGCACCCTCCTTTGTGGACGACCTGCCCCTCATCTCGGTGTCCAGTAGTTCGCCTCACATCAGGCGAAGGGCCAGCATGGTACTCGCCAATCATGGTCTTTTCAAACGCACCCTTTCTCAAGCTTGCACTGGGCGCAACCTCTCACTTTTAGCTGAAGAGGCAGGCTGGCAAATTGAGTGGCAACTAAGAGCCCTTGTACGCAGCTGCGCAATTGAAGCAGGCTGTCAAGTCGGGTAGCAACCAACAGCTATTCTGCGCAGCTGTGCAGTCGAGCATCTTCAGCGTTTCCCCAAACTTGAAAACAACAAAGCACCTGCGTTTTCCTGCACTGAGATCTGCAATATGCAACGCTGAAGTACTGCGCCAGTGCTCTTACTGCGAGATTGCAAGGAAACCGAACCGAAGACGGCCTGACACATCGACCAAGTTGAATCTACCAAGATGGACCACGGCGAACCTACTGGGAAGCCAAAAGGGCGAAACCCCAAGATTCCTCCGGAGAGATGGGAGAGTATGAGAGTGGTGATCTGTACAGAGTACCAGAACAGGAACTTGAGAGACTTGATCAAATTTCTCAGGGTTGAACACAATTTTCACACAACGTAAGATATACCATCATGTGAAGAAGCATGACATGCTGATGCTACAATTGATGACAGCAAGAGACAGCTGGTTTACAGACTTGGCATTTGGAATTGCAGCAAATACGGCGGAAACGACCTTGACGAGAACGAAGAGAACTATCCCGAAGAACTGCACGAGATCAAGTCTAACGAATTGAACAACACAATCGAATGTGGATTTGAGCAAAGAAATCACTACCACACTGATCATCTAGACATCGATACGCCTCAGTTTGCCAGCGGTCGGTCGGCAGCTGTGACGGACAGCTCAAGTGACGCATCTTATTATCGTGACTTCACCCAGCTTCTTGCTCAACATATCCACGAATCGGTGGTCTCAGGGTCCGTTTTTGTAGATCTTGCAGACCCCATCAACCGAGGACGCCATCTGTTCGTGTGGGCCACTGAGACCGATGGAAGCCATCTGTGCCATCCGGATTAATCACAAGTATGGCAGTCTGGTGCCTTTGCCATTCAGGAAACAGCTAGAAGCTCTTGACGAAGTCAATATGGACGAGCATCCCCAATTTTTGGGCACACTCCTTGTCATCTGGAAAAGCACTCCGCTGATAGACGACGACAACACTTCTGGAAGATATTTCATCAACACAGTCAACAAGCTCTGCCAAAGGCTTCTCGGTCGCCAGAACCTGGTTGCGAGGATCTTTGCCTGTCTGAGCACTGGGTCTTTAGATCCAGCTGCATGCCTCGAACGCCTTGAAGTACTTCCTTCGGAACTCTTGTCTCCCAAAGGTCAAGCTCCTGAACCAAGTTTCGAGAAGTGCGAGAATTACGAGACAAGCGACTACCACACCATGTCCTCAAGCGATTACCACACCATGTCCTCTGTTTATACTGCCTCAGAACGGAGTTTAACTCAAGCTCAAGGTCTGGGCTCAATGAACAGCGATACAGTAAGTTTACGTGCTTTAGCTCTTCGCAAACACAGCGACGAGCGACACAGGCGGTACTCGAGACCTACACCTCCAGCAGATCCGTTGGAAACCTCGCTCTCACAAAATCAGGCTTTAGCAAAATACGAGGGGCCTTCCACAGACAGCTTGACCGGTTATCGTCCCCCCACGAGCCTCGTGATGCGGCCACTTGGCATCAAATAGCTTTCCGTATGATATCAAGCGAGGTAGTCAATCGTACATGGAAAGCACTCACTCATTCATGACGGAAAATTCTTGGCCTGTGGGAAACCCTGAAGGTTCATCTACACCTTTTTCAGAGCACACAGAGCAACCTCGGGAAAGTCGCTCGGAGAAGACACGAGAAGTGCTAGACACCAGCACTCCCTCCCTAACAAGGATTCCAAGCACTTTGACACCTACTGATGCTGATAATCAGATGGATATGGATGAGGTCTCAGTTTCCCAAGATGAGGAATCGGATACTTCAAGCAGCTTGACCGCAAATGAACAGCAACGAATGCAAGCTATGCAAGAAGAAAAACGAAAGACGATCCAGACAATCATGGACGCGGTTCTATACGATTTGGACAGCATAATAGGCTATTTGCCTGCGGTCGAACCGAAGGATCCGAGTGCACCAAGCCAGGTTCCATCGCAAGCTGAAACTGGTTGCGCACGAATTCAAACAGCCCGGAAACGATTGAAGTAATGTGGTGGGGATAAAGACAACAATAAGGGACAGACAGGCCACGACCGGTCTGGCGACAAAGATGAAGCCGACGAAGGAGACGAGGGCGAAGGCAGATCTCGCAGGATACCGAATCGGCAAGACGATTGCAAGAACAGGTTGCTTGCGTGCCCATTTTTCAAGTGGAATCCTCTGGCATACTCAAGGACGAAAGAATGTGCAGGCCCTGGGTGGCCTACAGTGAGTCGCTTGAAGTGAGTCTATGGTTGCTAACTTTGGGTTCTCTTGACTAACAAGTAGTTTTCAAGGAGCACCTGTTTCGCCGCCATGAGAGATTACCATTCCAGTGCAGCAGATGTCGAACATACTTCAAGACTCAAGGTGAATTGGATTCACATCTCAGGGTCGAAGCCGTTGATCAGCTTTGCGAGATCATGAACGAATCTGAGTTGTGTGGGGAGTTCAAATTTGGACCCGACATTAAAGATCGCCTCAAGGCCAGATCCGCACGGAATCAAACAAATGCAGAGAAGTGGAAGCAATTATACAGGATTATCTTCGATGTTAGAGAAGATGAGATGCCCATACCATGTGAGTTACGACCCGGTCATGGTGCTAGGCAGAGAAAACTGACATGAAGCCTCTGCAGACTACGATCATGATATCTCGGCGCTTGACCGAGAAGAGACCTGGAAGGAATCTGCTCGACGCGAGATTGTGATTCTTCTCCGACAGCGTATCGAAGCCGAAGTTGAGCCAAAGTTTACGAACGTGGCTCCGGAACTTATAGCCGGGCTCCAGGACATCGTCCACGATGTGGAGCTTATTCTGAGGCGAAACTTCGAAAGGAGACAAAAGGAAGCTCGAAATCTAGATCGAGAAGAGACACCAGGAAGACCGCCACCAGTTCTCGATGAAACATCGGTGAATACGGCTCAGACACCTGGTGACGACGAAGGATGTATGACTGTTATCCTAAGAGATAATGTTTTCTACAACGGAAGCCTTCCCCTCGATGGTCCGCAGCATCAGGTTCTCCCTTTCTGGCCCAATGAGCCGGAAGCGAGCGCCGTGGGAATGGCAGAAGGAGAGCAACCTCTGAAATCTTCATTGTTAGACAATTTCTACTTTGACTTTCTCAATGATGATGAAGGCAATGACACGCTCTGAGAGTAGTAGAGTTAGCATGCTCCAATTAAAATAGGATCAGAACTTCCAGATGATAAATGATGTCTTGGGAGGGCGGGATGCCAAATAGTGCATCGTGTCATCTCTTCGCTCAAGTAGATCACGACGCATGGCGCCGCCGTACGGCCGACTGGTCTTCAAGATGAAATTCGGGACGCATTATGCAGTGTCATCTACCTCATCTGATCACGCATTGGTGGATGAAACCCCGGCTCACCCATGAGTCAGCAACAGGACAGTGAATAAGTTATTGATACAAGGGCCGCCGCTGTGAAGTCGATTACGCTTTTGTATTAACTGTAACTCATCTCTTGTCAGAGGGTATACCATCGTGACCTCTAATCGCCCATGAGGAACCACACGAGACGTGTCGTACACCACCCGCATGCCAAGAGGCGCGGATCCCCTCGCTAGGAGCCCCTCCCGATCGCCACGCCACTAACGTAGGTAAAGGTAGACTAGGGCATCTCCCCTCTCCCTCAGGAATGCGGCGGAGAGTCCGCTGCGGTCCTGCCACACCTTTGGCCTTGAAGCCAGTGCTGCCCCAAAAATAACATTATTGCCTGCCCGTTTGTCCTGATCATCGTATTCGTCATGTGCCTGTTGGTGTTGCTGATGTGGTTCCAATCGATTGACCTCAATTCCAATCCCACATATGCGCAACACCATCGCCGTGGTATCCCGAGTCCCGAAGCCCCAATGCCATTACATGTAGTCCTTGTCGAACACCAAACGCCTCGCCAGGAGTAGAGAGAGAGAGAGAGAGAGAGAGAGAGAGAGAGAGAGAGAGAGAGAGTGCAGAGGAAGGATGGATAAACACCTTCCCCAAAGTTCGAACCGTGTCATAACTCCATCATTATCGGAGGCATCTCGGCCTCACGTCCTCGCCTTCTTCTTCTTCCTACTCTCCCCTTCGTCCCGGCCCCTCTTGCTCGAGCCGGGTTGTGGTATTGACGCTGATGATGATGATCCTGCTACTGCTGCTGTTGAAGACGGGTGTTGGTATTGCTGATACTGTTGATATTGATGATGATACTGCTGAAAATCCTGCTCACCAAAGTCCATACCGGCAACGCCTTCGTCCTCGCCGGCGCAGGCGTCGCATTCCTGGTCAAAGGCGTGTGTCTCGACGTCGACACCACGCCGACACGAGCCGAACTTGTCGGCGTTCTTGGCCTCGAGGCATGAGAGCTGCTGGGAGAGGTCGGCCCAGGTGAGGGATTCGTTGCAGCGGGTGCAGGTGCCCGCGAAGAGCACGAGGCGGCACATTGTGTGTGTATTTTTTGTGTCTCTTGTGGCGGGAGGTGATTGAGGCGTTGTTGGAGGGAGGTAGGTATTAGGAGGACCACGAGGTCGAGAGGGGAAGAGGTGACGGTGTGGTTTTCGAACTCCCCCAAACCCCCAAAGTGATCTCTGGGCGAACGAGTTTGTTCCGCGAGTGATCAATTAGGTAGGTAGGACAGGGGAAAAGATAAAGAAGGATTGATGCTTGTTTATCGACCGTTTGGAAGTGAATCCGCAATGTCCTTCGAGCGGTAAACAAGGTCTTTCGAGAATAAGAGAATAAGAATTAGTCGACACGTCGAGGAGAGGAAGAATGTTGAACGGCAGAAGAAGGATGAACTAAAATCAATCGTCGACGGATGGGCAGCCACAAGCTTTCAAAGGATCGACACGGGGGGGGCCTAGCACATCTCGATAGAAAAACGCGACCTGAGCTTGACGGGTTGTGTTGACACACTGACAGGTACGGATACACAGGACAGAATCATAAAGGGGGGGAGGGGTGTGTATGGAGGGGTGTGAGGGGCCGACGGGTAAGAGAAAGGATAGAGTGTCAGAGAGGAAGCGAGAAGAGCTCATGCAGCCCAAGCCCTCTCTCGGAAGTGAAGTTGTGAAGAAGAAATGAAATTCAAGGAGAAAGACGACGAAGAGAGAGAAAAAAGCAACAATCATAGATGAGCAGGAAGCGCCCTCTCTCTCTCTACTCAATGCTGCCAGCCTGCCATCCACCATGCAGCTCGCCAACAGCCAACCGTCTTGCAGTAGACTATATGCAGGATGCGGCTTAGCCTCGCCCTTGCGCCGCCGCCCAGCTGCACATCAAGACGCGAGACGAGAAAGAAAATGAGAAGCGAGCTGCATTAGCTGTTGGCTGTTCAAGTCCTGCTTGTCTCTCTCTCTCTCTCTGTCATGTCTGTTCTGTCTATGCCATGCCATGCCCATGTCGCCATGCCCCTCCCCGTCCATCCGTGCGAGAGTGCTCCAACTTTTGCACACCCCAGCACATCCACTCGCGGCCCGCGGCACTCTGCCGGGGAACACAGACAGGCCTTCCCGTCGTGAGAAACGATACCTGTGGAGTTGATGTAGGTAAGAAGAAGGTCATCGTAGGCCACACTCGACACTTTCATAGGATCACGAAATGGAGGGGTGGGACGGGACGGGGGTAGAGCGAGGCTAGGCGAGAGACGGAGGTAGAGGGCATCTTGCCCCGAGACATTTCTTGCAGTGACATTCCAGGCACTCGAAATCTGTCAGTGTGTGTAGCTTTTCTTCTCTGTGGAGATGAGGTGATTTGAACTCCAACGGCGCTTTGAGACACTTCGCCGAGCTTTTCCTTTCGCCTATGCGTACGTAGCACGACGTTCGCCAATATACACTCGTACGTAGATCTAGGAGAAGAGCAATCTTTCTCATCATCCATGGTCGATCCATGACACTTGAGAGTCAAAGGTCGAGAGTCAGAAAGAGAGAAAGATGCGCGGGAGGCACGGGAGACACGCGGCGCAAAAACAAGCTTTGAGATGGGATTGTCTTAGGGCCGGGCGAGAGAAGCAGAGCATGGATCGCGAAGCGAGCAATGAATGCAACGTGCCCCTTTCAGGATAGCTCCGGGATCAAGCTCCCTTGCAAACGGCAGACCTCAAGTTGTCATCTCCCGAGTCCCGCATTCCTCTGCCTCTGTCTCTGAGCGTGTCTCTCCTCGAGAATCAACAGTTATCGGCCAGTCAGTCTATTCTCCCAGGGACCAAACCCCTCACTCCTCCATCGTTATGGTCCAAGATGGCTATCATGATGGTTTCGAGATGCTGTTACATCAATACAGCCTCGTGCCACGATGCCACAATGCTAAAATGCTGCCCCCATACTTTCTCCCCCCTCATGACCCCCCAAAAGTCATTCTGCATTGCAACCTTGGATCGGCACATGCAAGGCCAGATAAGGCAGACGGTTCGAGAGGGAACACACAGTCTGACAATCCACCTTCCACAGAACAACCAGCGCACGCGGGCACGGGAGCATGGGCATCCGCACGCCTTTTCTGTTCAAAGAGCCCGTTTTCCCTCTTGCGCTCGCTGGCTCGAACGGCCTAGACCCTTGATCTTTGCTGAATCGAAGACGCTGTTCAGTGTCCGTTAACAAACCTTTAAAAAAGGTTGACTCGGGTACACCAGCCTGGAAACCTCGTGCTCGTGCGCCTCTTTTTATTATCCGGTGTTTACAGAGAACGTCCTTTCGGTTAGGCCGCCGCCCATCCATCACTGAGCGCCTGTTACGGCCGGCCGGTGGGATGACAATGTCCGTACGGAGTACGGAACAGTGAGTGACACCACACCATATGCCTACCTACGGATACCGGTACATCTTTCAAAGGTCATGAACGAATCGGCTTCTGACAGAGAGGGAGTCGGAGACTCGACCAATGCGGGGGAGAAGCGCAGTTTCTTTGCGCATCCCTCGTCCTCCCCTGCACGGCATGTCAGTTCATCACGTCTCTCTGTTCCCACACCAACCTTAACCTTACTTACACTTCTCGCTCTCGCTAAATAACATCAGTCAGACATTGACAGGTACTCCGTACATAAGTTACGTGAGAAGGCGGTGGTGAGTGAAGGTGGACGGGCGACCGTCCATGCATACACGTCCCTGTTCGATGAAATGTCTCGCATGGGATTTGCATCGAAGCAAAACTAAACTCTTTGCCTGTCGCGCCCGTGAATATTTTTTTTGTCAAATCGTCTGGCAGCTAGCTACCTTGGCGTGGTGTCGGAGATATTTCCCGCCGCGCAGAACTCTCGACTCGCTCGTCCTTCCGCACGCGTCGACTGTGCAGATCGCAAGCATCATAGCTTTTAATTTCCAGATGAACCGTTTGAAAAGCTTACGTGCCGACACCTAAACAGAACCCTATCATTGCCAGAGAATGAGAGGGAGAGAAGAGAGATAAGGCAGAGACAGAGAGAGGACAGAGCACACGGTGCAGCACAGACTTGAAGCTCGCAAAGACATTTCACATGCAGCCAGACAGGCAGACGGGCAGGCGAGAGTGAGAGATAACCTCACGTACATCGACAACATGCACATGCACCCGCACAGGCGACATTCTCCCTTTCTTACCTTTACTTGCTCATTGCCCAAAACACCTGCGAGATGAAAATTCAAATCTCAGTCCAGATACCGCAATAGTCAACTTGCAGCACGATTTCGAAAAGCAAATCTCAAGCCTGATGGCTCCCGCAGCCCGCAGAGAGAGGGCCGATAAGCGAGAGAAAACTGTCTGTTCGATGACACCACGATTTCGAAGGACCCCTTTTTTTTTTTTCTCCAGCTGCCCTCACACATCTCTCTGTCTCTGGGTTTTCCACAAATGTCAGTGCCATTCAACGGCGACGATCAATCATGTCTGCCGCCCCTCCATTCCCCACGGCTGCTACCTAATACCACCTCGAGGCTCGCTCGCGGCTCAGTCTCTCCCGCAGATAATGATGGGCAGTGCTAGAATCTCTGCCGCGAATATGGGCCCTGGTCTAGACCAAGGCTAAAGATGACCGTCCATCGTCCACTATTTACCGATGCACCTTGAATGTAGTGTTACAACGCCGGTGTAATACGTACATCCTTATTCCATGCGCGAGTGTTAGGAGAGCGTTGCACGAGTCTGGCTCATCTTGATGATTGGCATCCTTCATGTTCAGCTACTCTCGTCTCTCGTCTCTCGTCTTTCTGGTCTGTCTCCGATTGCTTAGGAACGCAGTCACATGAATTATTCAATCAAGAGATAGAGGATATGCAAATATTCAATGATGATAGAGGTAGATGGCACCAAGTGGTTTCATGAAACAAAACACTCCGCGAGTCCATTCTCACACATCACTTACAGTCCCTTCATCGCCCTCCCAAGGCGTTCGCTGTAAAATGAGTCCATCAATCTCAGTGGACGGCAAATCGAAGCATCATCACTCCATACTCCCAATCTCACCTGCACGATTCAAACACTCAATTGATTTGATCCCCAACCACACCTTCCCATCTCCATCCAAACTTCTCCAGCGCCTTGTAATGTTTGATGAGTTCAAATAATTCACTCCTTCTTTCATGTGAAAACCGATCCCATTCCCTCACTCACACCTCGTCCTACCTCACCTTACCTAAGAAAAATAAGGTCCTCCTCATGCCGCCGGCTACCCCTTCACGTCTCGGGAGGCACAGCTTCCTACACATCCGAGGCGACCACAGCGTCAGTCCCGCACGTGGCACCACGGACGTTGCTTATCTAGATAGGTCTATTTTCAAACTTGCACGTTGAGTACTCAACACTATGTTTACTATGTTTCGACGACAGTGGCCTACCAAAGAGACGTTTCCAGATTGTTTGCGCATTTGCGATGTGTGATCAACATGGTTTAATTATTGTCTGGTCGTCAAGAGGTAAAAAGAGAAAAAAAAGAAGCCTGAAGCAATGTTCACTTGCGGGCAGGACTGAGAGAGGTGGCTAGAGCTAACATGTGATTGATAGAAGAAGTCATTTGCTATTGAATTCACTTCATATGGGCCTCATAAGATCAGAAGAATTCATGGATTTGACTTGGAATTAACTATTATACAGAGTGCGCTTTTTGTTTTTGTTTTCCATCCCTTTGCCTGTTTGCGTCCCTAGTTGCGCTTCATCCACCGGAAAGAAAAGAAATTGGGAATCAATTTTGCATGTCGCATGAAAATATGCCGGTTAGACATTGTACCCACGAAGACTGAAAAGGGAAAAATGGACTATACGATAGAACCCTTGGAAGCGAGCTTTACTCGGGAAAAAGGTGACCGCGCAACCCACGGAAAGATTCAGTCGAGACCATGCAGATGAGGCGGAGGCGGATGCCATTGCCGAAGGCAGAGTTCGTCCTCAAGGGAACCGCGCCCAAACGGCGTCCTGCAGCTGTATCATGACAGCAGGCAACTGTCTCAAAAGTTCATCATGACCACTCTTGCAAATGTTCCACGAGGCAGATGGTGCCAAAGGTGTCAAGTCCAGGAACGCTCGCAAGACCCAGCAGAAAGGTATCCTTGCCGTCACATAGGCGTCAAGAGCGTGCATCATGGAGAATGGGGAGTAAATCCATGTCGCAGAGCAGCAATGAGCACCATGTCCATGTCAAGAGTCGAATCCAGTT